GTAATAAAGGAGAAATATAGTGAACTTTAGACATTATTGCTAGATATGTATAGAAGTATTTTGAACTAGATGATTAATAAAATACGGATTGTAGATTAGAATCGAGTCAAGGTTTGTATACATGCTTGCACAATACTCCATCTCTTTTTTAAAACTATTCCTATTTTGACTTTCGACAAAATTAAAATAAGAAATATATATTTATGGTTGACTTTCTAATTTTTTATCCTTAATGTGATAAATAAATTATTAGAATATTAGTAAAAAAAATAAGAGTAAAATTAATTTATTAATAATAGAAAGTCGAAAGATAAAATATGAAGTGAAATTTGCACTAAATAAGACTAAAAGATAATGACTTTCCTAATGTAGGACTTAAACTTTTTTATTCCCTAAGTAGGACTTAATAATGACTTAGTGGAAGGAATAATGTCCAGTAATGATGGACATTTACTTGAATAATGACTACTTGATAATGACCAAAGGTCCTACATCGAGAAATAAAAACATATGGTCCTATATTGGGAAAGTTAAATTTCTCAAATTTGAATGGTTTAAGAAGAGTAAATAAGAACGAACCATGCACTTTTATTTGGTTTCACGACGAACTGAAGTTGGAACTAAACATGCATATACAACAAATACCAAACAAACCCAACGAATACAAATAAAATACATGCAAACCACCCATGAATGACAATAAATAAAGGACGATAAATAAATATTATCGTCTCCTGGGACCTCCCTCAGCTTCCAATTAACTCTTTTTCCTTGTGTTTGACCTCCCAAAATAATTATTGTTGTGGGTTGGGAGTAGTAATTAAGTATTACTGTTCCTTAATGTGGTCGAATCGTACAATCCCCAGACGACGACAAGGAGAGTATTTGATCGACAAAGACCTGCAAGTTCCGGTCGGAGGAGCCGCCGTGTTCCACCGCCTCCTCCGCCATCTTCTTCCACTTGAGTGCAGCCGCCTTCATCTCCTCCGCCTTCGCCCCGCCCGTGGCCTCCACCAAACACCTCTCGATCTCCTCCCTCGGAACTATCCGGTCCTCCGCCTCCCCTCTGCACAGCCTGACGCCGGTCTTGAACACCTCCACCAGGAACTTGGCATTGGTGACCTGGTCGCCCCACTGCGGGAACGCCACTATTGGAACCCCCATGGTCAGGGCTTCAATACTGGAGTTCCACCCGCAGTGGGTCACGAAGCAGGCCACGGACGGGTGGGCCAGGACCCGCTCCTGCGGGCTCCACTGGACCACCCTGCCGTTCTCCCCTGCTCTCTCTGAGAACCATTCTGGCAAGCTCACCGGCTTGAAAGCCGACCCTTTGCTCGGGGGCTTCATGGACCACAAGAAACTCACCCCAGAGCTCAGCAAGCCATGGACAATCTCGTCAACCTGTTCCTGCTTCAACACGACGATGCTCCCGAAGGAAATGTAAACCACGGAAGCCGGGGGCTTCGTGTCCAGCCAGCTGAGGCAGTCGTCAGCCTTGACAAAGTCGGCCCGGACCACCTCAGACGATGACTGGTGCGTGGGGTCCTTGAAGAGGGGCCCCACGGTCGTGATCGGGCATATCTTGGACATGTGCCCGATCACGTCGCCCTCCAGTTCCTCGAACGTGTCCATGAGGACGCAGAACGGCTTGGACAGTTTTTTGAACTGTCCCAAAATAGCCCCGGCGAGAACGCCAAGCGGGCTCGACGGGTGCAGGAAACTAGGGACCTCATCGTACTTTAACACCGGCATGGCGGGAAGGGTGACGTCGATCTCCGGTTCGGATTCCGAAGGAAAGGGAACGAGGCTGTGGTGGTAGTGGTAATACGCGGAGAAGCAAGCACAGGATTGGACCCAGAGCATAGCACTGGGAATCTCGAGGCTCTCCGCCACGTCAGACACCCAAGGAATGAACGGGTTATTAATAAGACAGCAGACCGGCCGGCCCTCCTCCTCGTACTTCTTGACCATGAGGGTGACCTTCTGCGACCCCACCCGCTCCAGATGGTTCATGTAGTAGACGAGGTCGTCGCCTTTGGGCTCGGCGTGGTCGAACTCGTCGTCGAAGAACTCGAACCGGACGAAGCCCAGGCCGTACGGCGTGGGCTCGCCGGAGGCGATGTTGGGGTTGGCCTTCCTCATGTCTCTCCCGACGGATTCCGGCGCGGAGAAAGTGACGAGAATGCCCTTGCTGGCGACCCGCTTGCCGAGCCTCAGCAGCGGGTTCACGTGACCTTGACCCGGGAACGAGACGAGTAGCACGTGAGGCAGGGGCGACTGGTCTAACGTGGCGCCCTCTGATCCCATTTTTTATAAGAAAACGTTAGAGTCACAAATAAACACGAAAAGAGAGATAAGAGAGAGTATGAGAAGACTTGGGTGAATTGTGTAGTGAGAGAGTGGGAGTGGGTTCTTTTTTACTTATAGGGATGGAGGGCTGGGTACCTTCTTGGTAAGGTGGACAGGGAGGGGGTCAATTGGATGGGAGAACACGTGATCCGTTTTCTGGAAGACTCGCAAATAAATTACGGAGGTAAAGTAATTTTATTCATTTCTTACTTTGAGGAAAGGTGAAAGAAATGTTACTCCCTCCGGTGGAAGAACAAGTCATCCGTTTTCTAGAAGTGAAATTTGCACTAAATAGGACTAAAACATAATGACTTTCTTAATGTAGGACTTAAACTTTTTTATTCCATAAATAAGACTTAATAATGACCTAGTGGAAGAAATAATGTCCAGTAATGATGCACATTTAGTTAAATAATGACTTCGTGATAATGACCAAAGGTCCTACATTGGGAAATAAAAACATATGGTCCTATATTGGAAAAGTCATTATGTTTTAGTCCTATTTAGATAAATTTCTCTTTCTAGAATAGCCGGTATTACGGAGTAATAAGTTCATTTCTTTCTTAGGAAAAATCAAAGAAAAAGTGTAAGAAATGTTGGAAGATCTGAAATACTACTCCCTCCGTTCCGTTTTAAATCACCTGTTTTGACTTTTGGGCATATTTAAAAAAAAGAAAAAATAGAGTTGATTTTTTGAAATTGTCAGTACTTTTTAGGAGGTATGACGATGAATTAGAAGATAAAGTGGAGAAGAGTGACTTATTTTAGAGTTAGTTTAGGTATTTTATTCTTAAAAGTTTACGAAAACAACTAACAGACAATTTATTTTGGAACGGAGAAAAAAGGCAAATAGACAATTTAAAATGGAACTGAGGTAGTAAGAACTTAGATTATTTTGATAGTGAAACTACTACGCAATACACCATAATATTTTTAATTAGATACTCCGTACTATACAAATAAGTTTGAATTCAGATAAGATTGAAGAACATGCAAAATATAGAGATCGATATAATAGTTTTCAAACATCGATTGTTTAGAAATAAAAATTTGAATGAATTTACATAACACACCATTTTGCCAATGAGGCTCTACCCCTTGGATCCTGCAGGGCAGTCGTCCTTTGAACCTCACTTCCAAAGGTGCTGTCCCCGAAACCCCCTCAAGGTGTTTGGAACCCCATTACATAATTAGGTGCAAAACAAAGCTTTTGTAAACAAAAATGTTTTATGATTATTATGAAAATATTAATCAGATAATTATTTCAATTATACTAAAATATATAACAAGAAGATATTTCATGAATAAAAAATGTAAATTTCAACTTTCTTCATTAAAATAATACCATTGTGGTGGATGTGGATCCCTACGAGGCCAAAAAAACCAACTCTTTGAGGTAGATGGATGATATAAACAATAGTTTACTCCGTATTGTTATCATGGCAATGACAAATGAAAAAATAATGAGTAAAATAAATTCTATAGTTGGTTACTTGGAAAATTCACATATTTCGACGAATATCTTTCCACGAATAATCCATTTTAATCTTGTGTCATGTTATTGTTAAATTGAAAGATTAAAGTTTAATTTGTACAATAATCACATATCTTTCTTGTTTATCAACTGGAGTCGCTGTTTATTTTCAACTATAGTCTACAGATGTCGTCTCTGGTCAAAATCCTAGTCCATATTCATAAACATTTTTGTTGCGTTTTTCGTCAAGCCAATATAAGAATACATCACTCGACATAGGATCGGTGTGAGATTACACTTTAGCCCTATATTTAACACCAACATGATAGAATGTCAAAAAAAACTAGCTACCCATGAAAAAGGTACACATAAAAGAAGAAATACGAGCATAATATTTGATAATAGATAACCAAATATGGAAAACATCTGTTATAAAGAAGTAGTTATAGAATTTAATAAAAAAAATAAGTGTACTTGAAGTGATGTCTCAAAGTCAATGTCTCCCCTTAAAAATCTAACATATGTTTGGTTCAAGGAAATTGGAAGGAAAAAAAAGAAAATAGTTTTCCATCAATTTCCTCACCAAAATGGGAGGAATTTGGTTTTTACTAATCTTAGTACATTTTGCCTTCTCATTTTCTTTTCTTTTCACTTTTCTTTTCTTTTCCTCTTTAACCAAACAAGAAAAATAATTTCCTTCTCATTTTCTTTTCTTTTTCCACTCAAATTCCTTGAACCAAACATAGTGTAAGTGTTGCTCCCTCCGTCCTAAAACGTTCTTCCCAGTTCACACGGTCAAATTTTAATTACTTTCTTTACCTATTTTCATTAGTTTTTTTTATAAAATAAAAAAAATGGGTGCCCGCCGCTAGCCCGCTACCCCGCCTCTGCGAGTGGTGCGGCAGGTCTCTCCGTCCATTGTAAATGCTCTAAGTAACGAGTAGGGTACACCATGTAGTAATTGTCTGTGGTGCAGTTGATGGATAAATAAACCTTTGTTTTTCAATGGAGAGGAAAACTGTTAGGTGTATTAGACAATTCCGACCGCCCTTTTTCCTTGAACTAAACGACCACTGCCTTAAAAAAGGCGAACCCCATCCCTAGGGCCCTTCCAATACCGGCCGAATAGTGGCCTCTAGCCTGGGAGGAGCTAAATTGAGCTTGTGTGATTACAAACTACATGCCATGGCTTTCATTGAAAAATTCGGACAGCAACAATGTAAAATGCACATTGGGGTGAAGTTAGTCTGGGACAGACTAACATGCGATTAATAAATGTAAAATGATACGAGTAGAAAATGAAACCTAGGCACATCACTGAGTGAATTAAATCAAAATGGCTCAAAGAACTTGAAAAAAAGGTTAATACCATAACTGAGGCAACCAGTTTACACGCTTACGGAGAGGTTATGCAACCTTAGGAACAGGAATGCTTTTTGTGGGTTGTAATGTCACTGAGTTCAACAGTAGCAATGAGAATAATAGCCCAATAAAGTGCGAGAGTATGGTGTTTGCTGATGCCTGTAAAATATATCACAAGAGAATGGGATATAGTTAAGCGAGTTGTCATACTCCCTCCCCAAATAAGGTCCCATTTGATAATAATTAAGTTCCATTTGATCTAAGTGACGATAACTTTTCATATAATTTGTCAAAACATAGCCACGAGAAAGTTGCATGTGATCGATTTAGTTAAGAGATACATGTAGGATTAATGATTTGTATAGCAATTTTAGGTTCAAGGGGAAGGGAGGGGAGGGAGGGAAAGTAGGGGGGAGAGGGTTTGAATATTACGAAGTACTTTGTTTAGTTTGTTGGAATAGAGGGGAAGGGAGGGATTATACAGAGTTTAAGAGTTTGTTTCGTTGTTGGGATTGGGGAAGGGGATGAGATATGTTGGCTCCACCACCCGCAATATCTTGAACTAAATTAAGGAGGGGAGGCCCTCCCCCACCCCCCCCCCCAACACAAAACGGGACTGTCTTTTTTTGGAACAGAGGTAAATTTATCGAACGCAGCAGTGCAGCCTATGCCTGCAAAATGGGACAAAGAAAGCATACCTGCACGAGAAACACATCCAATGCAACCACGGGAGTACTACCAGAACCAACACCCTGATAAAATGGATATGCAGTAATGGCCTTCCCTACCAGCAGCCCTACAGTGGCTTGCATACCAATTACAGTGGCACCCATTCCAAAAAGGTTCAACCCGATCCCATTTCTCAAGCTTTTCACCACATCTTCCCTAGGAGGTGCCTAAAAACACAAGATATCAGTAGAAAATGAGGTAGCACTGATCAGCCGATGACCGTCATTTAACTAGCCTGAGGGCATTCTTCGCGTGCACTCATGCAAATGGGTAAAGAAAAACCTTAAGGTAGTGTTTGGAAACTAGGATTTCATTTCAATTCATGTATTTCAATTCCAAAATTTGAAATCTTGAATTTCAAATGACAAGGGGAGGCACATGTATTCAAAATTAAGCTTTGTTATGAATGAGAAGAATTTGATTCAAATCCACATTCAAAATTTGTAAGTTTCCCAAACATGGAATTTGAACCAAATCCAAATTTGAAATCCAAAACCATGTTCCCAAACATACCATAAAGCAATTGAAGTAAATGTTAGTCGAAAAGGAGACCTTTACCTTTGAAGGCTGACTGGCCGTTCTCTTAAGCTTCTCAGACAGACGAAGATAACCAAAAGACCAGAAAACAGAAACAAAGGCAGCAGTGATTCCCGCAGCAGTAGAGTAAAATGTAAAGGGTGATGTAATCTTCCCAGTCATGGCAATGGATAAAGAAAGTATCCCAGCCGCAATAAGTGTGCAAACCAGCTGCCCCCAAAACCCTAACCCCCCCAATCTCTTGAAATACCTTGAAGTACTCTCCAATCTCTCTGAGACCTGTAGAAAACTCAACGCATACAGATCAGCTTCTATCTAAATGATCTACGATGCAACTATGCAAGATGAATAATCATCCTAAAATGTATAGCCCTTATAATTTAATTGCTTCAAGAACACATCTCATTGCAATCAACCCTCAGATGTGATCTTCCAAAAAGTGATAAAACTAATTGAACCCAATAAAAAGGATTTTCTCTATTGATCTTTTCAATTTCACATTTTTCAGTGGTTTTGTAACCTCACAAGCCAGACAATCACAAACATTGATATCTTAGTTCATATGAAAATCACATCTGCACATGCATTGAATCTCAATTTGATTTTTCTAGCGTCTAGACACTATCAACGCTTCTTCTCCCAAACCCTAACCCTAACCGGAAAATTCAAGTGCCCGAACATTTCTCCCAAGTTCACAAGCAGAAATTGCATCCACATCCATTTAAAATTAAAATAGAAATCCAAGTAAATATACACTTAAGGAGCGGACTTTTACAGGAGAAAGAAGGATACCTGAGCGAGCTTCGCTTTTTCGATATCGTCGATCGGAGAATAGTTAGCCGCGGCGAGGACTCTAACCCCTTCTCTGCAATTGAGTGCCAGATGCGGCGGCGAGAGGACATTCCGAATCCGTATGGGAGCTAGAGTCTGTGACAAGGAGAGAGGAACGATGGCAGCTTTGTGCTGGAGAAGATTGAGGGCCGAGGGCTTCCCCACCACCTGCGATGTCATAGGAAAATAAAGAGGCGCGCCGCCGGAACGAGCCGCCGGGAAAAGTAGCGTTTGCATAGCAGGAACTAGGAAGGGATGGTCGGCGTCTAACAGGAACAGAGCTTTTTGGGATGCCTTAATTGGCGACCACTCCACTTACCCTTCATACTCAGTTACTCACTGCTTTGCCACAATATTTGTGACTCTTATTATTATACTCCATCCTTCCAATAATAAATTTGTTGTTTTGAACAATATACAAAATATTATTATTTTAAAAATTAATTTATTCACAAATTAGTATATCATAAAAAAGTAAAAATTGAATAATTCAAAACTATATAAAAAAAATTTATAAAACAAGATATGACATGAACATTTTATTTTATTAAATGAGTGATGAAAATATGCAAACAAATATGAATTTTCAAACTTCTGTGCTTTCGACCAAGCCTTACCGGACTCCTATAGAAGCGGAGAGGGAGAAGAAATGTGGTCGCGTCACTCTTATAAAGGCCGCGTCTAGTCGTGCGAAAATTAGAAGAGACGCTTTTCGAAAGTTCTTTATATCCAAATGTCGAAAACAGAAAATTCAAGTGAATGTTTAACACAACACTTTGGTCCAAGTCGGGGGTTGAGGGGTTCTGTTCCTTGGACCTCGCAGGGGCTACCGTACCCTAAACCCACTCTTGGGGGTGTTGTCCCTTAGAACTTCGGTAAAACAGAAATTTTATCATAACAAACTTTCCTTTGAACCAAGAAATATGCCCACCGAGAGCTCCTTTTAGAAACTCCGAGCATTTTTTTAAACACTTACTTCGGAGATAAAACATAAAACTTTTAGGATTAATAAATGTTGTTATGAGTCCCAATAATAAAGGTTTGAAAAGAAATTGCTTATTCTAAGGTGCGAACCCAATAAATTCTTCAGGCAAAAAAGTCTCTTAATGAAGTCAATGTGTACCACCAAATTTATTTGATGATTATAATGATGTCATTGATTAAATAGTTATTCAAATTAGGCTAAAATACATTTTCAAATGAATACAAGACTAGCTCGGATAAGGCACGTTTGACAACTTATTCCGCTTGAACGCTCTATTTGTATCCACAAGCTGAGCCAAGAAAGGGGCGAATTTTGGCCAGAGAAAGTGATAATCCCCCGCCACCGCCTCATTCTTTTACCGGCAGACATGGCCACCGCCGTCCTCCAAGTATCCAGCTCCCATTTCATTTCCGCCCGCGGTAATTCTTACGCATACTGTTTTTTTCTTCTCTCGTTCGAAAAAAGAGTAAGAGCCTTGATTCCTTTTCTTGCCTTTTCTTTACATTCAGATGCTGCAATTGTCTCAAGCAAGAGGGCGTTCTCTTCCAGATCTCCATTAGGTCTGTTGAATTCAGCTCGATTTGGAACTTCCCTTGCAGCTGGTTCCACTCCCCGTGAGTTCCCGTTTATCTGGCTTGAATTGGCGCAGTTCATTGTGTGTTCCTTTGTGCATTTTTATGTCTAAAAAACTTACGCAGAGAAGGTGTTTGGTTTTATTCCCCACCGAGAAATCAATAACATAGTATTTGCCACCCTAATGGTGCTTTTGTGTAGAAAAGTAGAAACTTTTAACTGATAGAGGTTTTGAAGTATATATTGTATATATTGGGTTCCAACCCAGCATATTAACTATAGTTGTTAGCATAATTTATCAAATGCTTCATGTTTCAACTATACAATTTTAACACTGACACAATATAAATCATACTCGAAAGGGTAGAACAAGAAGTTTCTAGACATTGTTGAGCAATTTGATTATATGGACTTGAATACTTGATTAATACTACTTATGCAGCCAAATTTTGAAGCAAGTTGTTTATTGTTATTCATTTTGAACATATTTAGATGTGTTATTTATTACTCCCTTCCCTTATTTTTGTTTGTCCGAAAATACTAGTCTACTTTCCATATTCTAAGAGATTATGATCTATTGTCTAAAATAACACCTCTTTCGCCCATTATTTGCGACTCTTTACTAAGAGGATTGCCTAGAGGCTTTATCTCAATGTGAACTTCAAAATGTATCTGGCCGTGAAAAATAATGTGTATAATCCCAAACTCTTTATTTTTCAACACTTACATTTTGTGAGGTCAAACAATAAACATCGTTTTGGGGCGGAGGGAGTACTTGACTACAACATCTGATGATCTTGATGTTTATGTGGCGAATGGCAAATGTACTTGGAGATTTAACAAATTGATTATGATCATATTGCTTGTAATCATTTTTAAACTACACAAGTGAGCCTAGCTAAAACAACTAAGGAAGAAGATAGCGTCGGCTAAGAAATAATACTAGGCAACTAAAAGATTCTAGTAAATACAATAGGTTAGAAGAATACTGAGTCAATGATCTAAACAACTAACCTAAGCTAGTGTTTATCTCAACCCTGGTTTTGATTTTAACCAGTCTTGAAGACTTCTTATCCGATCAAACCGTCCCATAGAAGAGCATCGGTTACAGTAAGATGCGAGCAGACTACCAAGGAAGGCAGCAGCTTAGACATTTGGCTCGGTCGGTTTGCTATGATAGGCTTTGCAGTTGCTATCAGTGTCGAAATATCCACTGGCAAAGGACTGCTTGAGGTACAACTGCACCAATTCTAAGTATCTTTTTTTATAACATATGTTGTTTGGAAAATTATTGGAGTACCCCAACAAGTGTATACCACTAGTACACTAATACTATGTTTGGTTCAAAGAATTTGAGAGGGAAATGAAAAGAAAATGAGGATGAAAATATTTTTCTTGTTTGGTTAGAGAGAAAAAGAAAAGAAAAGTGGAAGAAAAAGAAAATGAGAAGGCAAAATGTACTCAGAGGAGAGAAAACCAAATTCCTCCCATTTTGGTGACGAAACTGATGGAAAACCATTTTCTATTCTTTGCCATCCAAATTCTCTGAACCAAACATGGTGTAAAGGAATACACATACATTAAATGTATGTTCGGGCACACAGACATTATGTTTGTGTTTCCGTGTGGTGTAGAAATGGTGTACAATTTTTGGGTACCCCTAGCATTCCCATGTGTTGTTTAGACTAATGTATTATCATTCGTGCTGTTTTGTAGAACTTTGGGTTAACATCTCCGTTGCCAACCGTTGCCCTTGCCGTTACTACATTGGTGGGCATTCTTGCAACAGTTTTCATTTTTCAATCTGCTTCTAAGAGCTGATTACTTGGCTTTATATAAAGCAAAAAATGACATTGTTGAGTCACATTCTTATTCAATACATGATCATCTCAACTTGAGCTCTCTCTCTCTCTCTTTCTCTCTCTCTCTCACACACACACCAATACACAAACCCAGGTTGTTTGTGTGTGAAGTGATTCTATGAGAACTATTGCATGAGTTTTAAGTGGTAGAATGACTATAACCTAAGCTATCATACATTTCTCTAGTGCAAAATGAAGTTTACTCTTTCACTTCATAGAGTATATTAAAAGCTTTCAAAAGTTTTGTTTTTTTTTAAAAAAGAAGTATATTTAGTTGATTTTGGTTTATTGGGAGGTAAGAAAATGAACTTCATAAACATTAATATTAAAAATCATATATTGATAACATTTTCAAAATGCCAAAATTATATGCTAAGGTAATGTTGAACAGAGCTTTTATTTTAAATGGACCTGAATCAGTGAACTTTAGGCCCAGATGTATGAGGTCCAAGCTCTTTTTTTTTCTCAATATATTAAATAATTTAAATCTAAAATTGTTTGAGTGAAGAGCAATGCTAGGGGTATACCAAAGGTGTATCTCATTTATCCCCCACCCCCTTCTCTACTACATATTTTTATTTCAATTTTAATTAATTATTTATTTTTAAATTTTTTTGCTCATTTATGTGGCAGAGGAGGGGATGGGGTACACCCCTGGCATTTTTTTGAGTGAAATATCAATCATGAACTATAACAGGGTGTCTGATACTCCGTACTAAATATTCCTTACCTTTAAAGGCACATTTTCATATTTGACATTACCAACTCACCATAAATAATACACACAATGTCTCTATATTTTCAATTATTTTTACATTCTTTATTCTTATATTAAGTTCTAAAATTATAATACTAACAACATTTTAAAACTTACATTAACCTGAGTCGAATTATGTCTTTAATTTTGGGGTTCATGTGAAAAAAGGTGGGTAGCAGAACTGGACATTTGGACGGGAGCAATTTGCACTCACGTGAAATTTTTTATTTTAATGAGGTAAACTAAAGATGTACCAAAAACTAAATAAATTACACAATCAAAATTATCAGAAGAGTGACCTCAAAAACTATACGCTGGTGACAACTTCAAACCATTAAAGAGAATAAAGAAATTTAAAAAAAAGTAATGCTGGGTAACACCAAAAATTTAACATCTAAATTTTCACAAACCACAAATAATAACTGTGGCAGTTATTGTCTCCGTGAATTGTGAGAAACTTGGGATAAAATAGCTATAGTAGCACGGGAACCGACTTGGATCCACCAAATATAAGCCAAATCAAAAATAGTCAAAGACAGACATTTAATGTTTATACATGCACAAACATTAAATTATCTTGTGTGTATGACTAATTTTGTCTTGATGTATATTTGGTGTATCCTAAAATAGCCATCACATTTTTGGTGCCCCCATCATTTTTGGAAAAAGAATTGGACTTTGTGATGCCCAATTTGGACATTTAACTTTGGAGTTGGACGCTAGATTTGACCCCGGCAACGTGACGCCGGCTTCTGAGGTTTGAAGCAGAGTTCCGAATCTCGCGGGCACTGTTGCAGACAATTATCCCCCAGGCTACCGGTGACATTGTGATGCCAAACCGACGAGAAAAGCCCCGCCGGCGGCGACCCCTTCAAGATATTGCCGTCAAGGAACAGCCTCCTCAACGACGGCTGCTTCCCGTATTGCGGCGGTATGGTTCCGCGCAGCCGATTGTACCGCAACGAGAGAGACGACAGAGATGGATAGTACGCGAAGTTCTCCGGCAGGTAGCCTTGGATGCTGTTATACCCCAGATCGACGGCGACGAGACCGGTGTTAACTTTTCCGGGTCTCTCTACGGCGATACCGGTGAATCGGTTGTTGGCCAAGTTGACCTGTTGTAGGGCCGGGAGCCGGAAGAGCCACGGTTCCAGCGCTCCGGCAAACGAGTTGTTACTGAGCTCGATGACCTCCAGCTGAGTCAACCCGTTGAATGAGGATTTCTGCAATGACCCGGAGAGAGAATTGGATTTCAATGCGATTTCAATTAGGGTTGGGGGCAACGGCGGGATCCACCCGGTGAGTCGATTGAAGCTGAGATCGAGCTTTATCAGGGAGGAGAGCGAGTTTAGGGAAACCGGCAACGACCCGGAGAGCGAGTTAGAGGAGAGATCGAGGAGCTGCAGAGATTTGATCATAGCGACGGAGGGCGGGACTGAGCCAGAGAACGAGTTAGCTCGGAGGATGAGGTGCTGGAGGTTGGGTAGGGAGAACAGAGCGGCTGGAATCGGCCCGTAGAATTTGTTGTTCTGCAGGTTAAGAGTGATGAGATACGTGAGGTTGGATATGAAAGGGGTGAGAGTGCCGGAGTAACCGAACCCGTCGAGGACGACTCGGGTGACTCGGTTGCCGGAGCAGGTGAGTCCGCAGACGAAGTTGGTGAGTCGAGGGAGGGAACAGGGATCGCCGGCGGTGAAATTCCAGGAACCCAAACAGGAGTAAGGGGCGATGGTTGCGGTGTCTATGGACGATCTGAATGCCTTCAGCGCTTCCACGTCGGAGGAAGCGGTGGTCAGAGATTCCCCGGGGAGAAGAAGAAGAAGACAGTGAAAAAGAACGGCGGCCAAGAAGACGGGGACGGTGGATCTTGACATGTTGTCAGTATTGAAAGAAAGACCTCCACGACAAGTTCTAAAATGACTTTTCTTTTTTTTGGGTTGGTCCAAAAATGAGTTTTGAAAGTGATGAATGTATATGTCGCTCCATGCTGATTAGAGCATCACTAATAATCAAGTAGAATGAAGGGGAAAGGACGATGTAGAGGGAGAAATTAGAGAAAAATGATTAGAACGGATAGGGGAAAAGAGGAGAGAGATAAGAAGGGGAGAATAATATTTTCTTGAAGAATGAAAATAAATGATTGGTCAATTATTTTTATTATGTTTTTTTTTGCACAATAAAAAGATGTCATATTGAAAAAATAATTAAAAAGTAAGGAAGTGGTTCCAAAATGGTAGAGAAAGTTAAAGGATAAAGTGATGTTGTAAAAGAAGTGATGCTTTTAAGCTTAACAAATCATAATTATAAACTTAAGGAAGTAGGTTATTATATTTCAAAAAAAGTACACTATAAAAAAATCTAGCACACCCCATAATCATTTTAAATGCTCATCATCTTTTGAGTGACATTTAAACTTTGAACCATGCTAGTTGAAAAAAAATAGTTACAAAAATCATAAATGTTTTTTATAAATTTAAATTTACTTTTCAATTATTTTAAATTTCAATCTCATAAAAAAATTAAGTTTACAACAATCTCTGTTAAATATGTTAATATTATATTTAATATTATTGTATATTGGTAGGTACCATATTTGTATAGGGTACATTAATTACAGTTTCCTATTGTCATTAGGAAACTCCTGTATATAAACACATGTAACCTCCCATAATATTCTATTGGAAAATATTCCTTCTACATGGTATCAGAGCCCTAATCGGCTTCTGTCTTCTCCCTCTCTCTCTCACGATCGGAAATCCCTTCCCCCATCCCTATTGCCGATCGGCTTCTTCCCTAGGCAACCATGGCCGACAAAAATCCTTCCTCCGGCAAGGCTATTTCAACCTCCGACACCTCTTCCTCCAACAACTCTCCTCACCTCGCCTTCACAACTATATCAAATATCAAACTTCACATCCCCGTACAACTGAGTTTGTCGGAGCCAAATTACAAAAAGTGGAGTCGCTTGTTTCGTCTCTTGATTCTCCGCTTCAATCTCAAAGGCTTCATCGACGGCACCACCATCGCCTCTTCTGCAGATGACGCCGAATGGTACCAATTTGATGCACTCATTCAAGGGTGGATCCTCTCCACCATTACGGATGAGGTTTCTGATCTCGTTCTCGCCAACAATCTCTCCGCTCATGCACTATGGAAGGCCATCTACAATCTCTTCCACGACAACAAGCACGCCCGGGCGATGCAACTGGAACATCGCTTCCGCACCACCGTCAAGGGCAACCGATCTATCAACGAATATTGTCGTCTTCTCAAGAACCTCTCCGAATACCTTGATGATGTTGACGCTCCGGTGACCGAGCATGCTCTCGTTCTACAGGTTCTCCAGGGACTTCCACATGACATCCGTGGCCAAGTCCAATTTCTCCAGTACCAGAATCCTCTCCCCACCTTTCTGGAAGTTCGGTCCGCCCTCCTCCTCGTCGAACAGCAGCAATCTGACTCTATCCACGGCGCCGGCGCGCCGCCTACTGCCTTCCTTAGCACCGGCAGTGGCGGCGGCTTTGGGGGTGGCGCACAGCGGCAAGACAAGGCGGACGGACGTGGTGGCTACGGCGGATACGGCAGGGCTCCTGGCGGCGGCAGTGGTGGCAGCGGCAATCGCGGCAGGGGCCGAGGTCGAGGGCGTGGCGGCGGCGGATCACAACGGCAACCCTCGGGCCAAGCTTCCT